GTTCATATAAAAAGCCACCAGTTCAATCAACCATGGTGATTGTAAGATCTCCAAGTGTTCAGCCTGCAGCTTAGATCTGAAGTTCACGCCACATACAGAGTTGTGCACCTGAAAAACAAACATAAATCATAATCGCAACACATCAATCCAAAAATAAAAGAAAAAACAGCAACTATCTCGGCATACCAATTTTGCAATGAAGCTGGACAAGATGTCTGACTCTAGAGCTAATACACCCCATTATATCAGAATCTTCTTTCATTATCTCGCTGAAGAACATTCGATCACACCCTACATTCATAAACAAATCATGAATAAAAACATCACAATCGTATACAATACATGCTACGTGAAACTCCACCACTCTCGATCATGACAGATACTTCAACTGGTAAATAGTTTTTCACTATTAAAGGATTACTTAATGTAATCAGGTGAATACACCTCTTATTTGACTGATCCTGGTTCTCCATCTTGTCAGCAATAGCATCATGAATATATAAATTTGATCCCTTGTTTACCCTCTCAGTCCCAGCAGAAGGCAAACACACATCATGCACAGACACACAGCAACGAAAAGGATGACTACTTAGAAGAGAAGAGTAGCAGACAAATGACCTCAAATGTCCAGTCTTACTTTAATTAGAAAGAATAATGGAAATGCTATAAGCTTAACTCCATAGGGAAGTGCTCCCTAATGGACGCCATCTTATCCGAGACCTGATTCTGCTAAATGTAGAGGAAGAGGAAACTCGTGTCCTGGATATACTACAGGGTCCAGAATCTTGGGAGATACACCAAATTGGATATCGAATCTGACTTCAAATGGCATTGTTGTTGCATTTGTGAGTATGACCTGGCATTTTATGAATCTTTTTAGAGAAAATAGCTAGAAACCCATTACAAGTGGAGCTAAATTAACATGGGTAAATAGTAAAGTAAACTTACTGTTGAGTACAATCGGACGAAATTTGTGTATCGTTGAACTGAAACATCAATTACTACAGGAACAACATAGCCACTACTGACACCTTTAGAAATACCAACAAGATCGATAGAAATAATTGAAGAAAAAAAAATGTGGAATTATCAACTGAATTGGAAAAATCCACCTCAAAGAAGCTAACACCAACAAGATCGATAGAAACACGAGTTGACAAAGTGGAAGTTCCTTCAAGCTGAATAACTATATAATGATGTTGTGCATCAGCGGATTTTTTGTCTCCTAGATTGTCAATTGAAGGGCTAGATTTAAAGCCAAAGGTTTGTTCATCTGTATTATCATCAATGTACACTGGATATGAAGAACCAGGCTGCACGTATTTTCCATCTTTCAATATATTGAAACGTCAACTTTTTTAGAGGCTTTGGAAATGTAAAACACTAGAGGGAGATAAGTTAAGTTTTCGAGTGTGTAAGGGGGCTAGTGTATTTTTATTTTCATTGGTGTGAGCTGCTGCTGTTAATCTTGAGTTTTCAGGAAAAACATTCAGACTCATGAGATCCCAAGCATCCGTAATCATATCAAATGTTCTGAAAGCAACCTCAATGAAGGATTCTGTAACATTGATATTGAGATTCATTTTTGACTCGAGATGAACATCTGTCATGACTGGGCTGTTTTGAAGGGTGCTTTTCCCTTGCTCTCTTCTTAAGCTTACTTGGAAGTTCCAGGGTTCAAGGAAAGGCTCCCATAATACCTGGAGAGTATAATCAAAATAAGTTATCATCAGTTCATTCATAATTGTTAACCGCCAGCTGATGAGAAATTGTTAACCGCCTCAGATGAATCCGTGCTCCCTCCACGTCAGCAAGAGCCATTAGACCTCTCTGCTTGTAAAAGTATTAAGTAATTAACTTTATTTTGAAAAATATCCTATCCGAATAGTTAGTCCTACTTACATGGATAAGAAATTCTCCTGATGTAAGTATTCCATTCCTTAGCATCCATGGACTGCTCGAAAAGCTGCAAAAGAGAAATAAAAAAATATATATCAGGCCCACAAAGCGCAACATATTTCTCAGTAGGGAGTGAAATGAATCAATCACCTTAGGGTCAAAGTGATGGGGGCCACTTCAAGCAGTTCAACGTATATTTTCTTCTGTTTTCTTGCAAGGAGATATATTTTCTGCCAAGATGCACCAATTGGAACTATTGATGATAGCAAAGAGAAGCTTTCACTATCAGCCTTTACAGTCTCTGAAATTTTACTCTTCTTATTATGTGAACAATTACAAGCAAAAAATCACAAAAAACAATTACAAGCAAAAACAGAATGGAATTGAAAAACCTAGATCTCATGAAGCAGAAGAATGGAATTGAAATGATGAACTCATTTAGCAAGTCAGCAGATATAATCGTCACTAAACATGAGAAAATCAATGTGAACAAAGGAATCGAGCAGAAAACCCTAGCTTACAGATGAAATCAACATGAACAGTTCAAATTTAGATGAGAGAAAGAGAAAGTACAGTGCTACAGCGGCGTTCGGCGGCAATGGCGAAACCAAAAGCATCTAAGCATAAGATGATAACTAGAAGATGAACTAGGGATGAGCCTTTTCCTTCGCCCATCTTTCTTGTGCTGTTGCTGCTGCTTCGTGGTTGTTTGTAGAGAGAGAAAGAGTGGAGTGAAAAAGGGTGCGCACTTGTGAGGTCCACAGCATAAAAGCCCTAGTTCTTCTTTGATATCGGGGACAAGAAAAACCTTAAAATCGCCGGCATTTCGAGTTTGAGGAGTCGTAGACCCCCAATCACCGACTCCATGAAAGCCCTAGTTCTTCTTTGCGAGGTTCGATTTTTGGGGAAGGCGGGGTACTTCAATTTTTTGGGGATTTGGTTTCCCCCATTAGTTGCATGAAACAGGGACGCGCGTATTAAAATTTTATAAAACGACATCTCTACACGACACCCACTTAAATTTAGGTGCCTTCCGTGTTTTTAATTTTTTTTCGTTAGACATTAATTTTGGGGCACGCACAAATGCGTGTCCTCTATCCTTCAAATTTTGTAAAACTGACATTATTTTTTAGGGCACGCACAAATGCGCGTCCTCTATCAACGCGTGTCATTGTTTGCGCGTCATTAAAGGGCTGTTTTCTAGTAGTGTGCGCATGTCCATGTTCAGAACCACTATGTACTTGTGTCTATATATATATATATATATATATATATATATATATATATCGTGCATGTACTCTATTAGGGGTATGCCATTTTCGTACGCTCTCACAGAAAATTTCCATCGTTGTGAACTCTTCTAGAGCTGTTTTAATCAAAGCATTAGGCACAATTTCAATATTGTTCTTGTCTTTAATTAACGTCATTAATATAAAATCTATCTATCTTTATTATTCTCACAAATGGGGGTGAATATGTCTTCGTCGGTGATTTTAACGTGGTTAAAAAAGCTTCAAAGAGGTATGGGTCGGTCTTTTTCCATATCTCTACAAGTGTTTTTAATGACTTCATTGATAATTTGGGTGTTGTTGATGTGCCTATGACTGGGGAAAGATTTACTAGAATTGATGCTATTGGAGCTAGGTTAAGCAAACTGGACCGTTTTCTAGTCCCAGAAGGTTTGTTTGATCATTTTGAGCATATGCAAGTTTCGGTTTTAAATAGGAAATGGTCTGATCATTGTCCTATTCTGCTACATGTAAAGTCGGTTGACTATGGTCCTTTTTAGTTTAAAATTTTCAACTCTTGGTTACAAAGGGAAGGTTTTGATGAGGTTGTCAAAGGGGCAATTTCAGAATTTATGGCTGATCCGGATTGGAGTAAGTTTGTTCTAGTAAAAAACAAGCTTAAGTATATTAAATCTAAAATTAGATAAAGGTTTTTAAAGACTAAGTCCAAGTCTAACTCGGATTATTCTAGATTACTATCTCGGTTGAAAGAGATTGACCATGAGATTAATGTTGGTAATTCTAGTGACAATATTATATCAGAGAGGCTCTCTATTCTTGGTGTTTTTAAGTATCAAAAAGCCAGATCTTTGGATGCTGCTCAGAAAGCTCACGTGTCGTGGTCAGTGGAGGGGGATGAGAATTTTGCTTTTTTCATGGAATGTTAAAGAAATATAGACACTAAATGATGATTAGAGGTGTTTCTCTTCATGTGGAAAGGCTATCTGATCCAAGTAATGTTAAAAAAAACTTTCTTTGATTTTTATCGTAATAAATTCCAACCGTTTGATGGTATTCCCATGTCTCGTCGAAGTGAAAGATACATAAGTATTGATCAGCATCTTGTATTGAGTCTATGTTTACTCCTGAATAAATAAAAAATGTAGTTTGGGGTTGTGGTTTGGATCGAGCTCCCGATCCTGATGGGTTTTCTTCATTACTAGAAAATAGGCCTTTAATGATACGTAGTGCGTGTCATAAAAGGTTCAGATGACACGCAAATACGTGTCATTAAATCATTTGTCATAAAGGACGATGACACACATTTGTATGTCATAAACTTATGAAACGCATTTTATGTCACGCAAAATGTGTGTCATCTTCCTTTATGACATGGGTTTTAATGACACAAATTTACGCCACACATTTATGATATACTTTATGACACACATTTTACATGTCATAAGTTTAAGCGTTTAAAAAAATCATATATTTACTAATTTTCCAATTGAGTGATGATGAATGTTGAATAATACAAAAATTTATAAACACATATTTGTGTCATTAAAGCCTTTGTCATAAAGGAAGATGTGATGCATTTGTGTGTCATAAACTTATGACTTTCATTTTATGACACGCAAGATGCGTGTCATCTTCCTTTATGACATGGGCTTTAATGACATGCATTTACAAAACGCATTTATGATATCCTTTATGAAATGCATTTTGCATGTCATAAGTTTAAGCGTTTTTAAAAAATCATATGTTTACTAGTTTTCCAATTGAGTGACAATTAATGTCGAATAATACAAAAATGCATAAACACATATTTAGCAAAACTATTAATTTCATCCAATAACGTCATATGTCAAAAAAGCTACAAAAATATTGTAGATTACATGTCAAATGCTAAAAACATTGCAAAGTTAACAAAAATATCACCAAAAGTCTATCGATACAAAATATCACTGGTAAATAAATCCTGCAACAAAAGATGGCTATTCATCATGGATTCCATCAATATTAGAATATGTGTACTAAACTTTGTTGCCCCCAACCTAAGAAAAAATTGCATATAATGTTTCAGTTATAAAAAATGATCTTTCTTTCACTTCGTTTCTTATTAGAGCATTGTACGTTCAAATAAATGAAAGATCATTGCTACTTCTTGTATATAACCTACTATTTCAATTATAATAGTGAAAGTAGGATGTTATATTCCTCAAATAAACATAAAATGATCATTCTTTCAATTCACTTCTGGTAAATATGACTCGAGCATTTGGAGCACTTGGACCTCAATGGAGCACTTGGGGTTCATGGAGCATGTGACAAAAGAACGGATCTTCTAAGCGAGGAATGGATCATCAGACAAAGGAACTGATCAAGTGCCAAAGGAACGGATCGTGTTCAAGGGGGTTTGGAGCACCTGGAAGGAGTTTGGAGGACTTGGAAGAGGTTTGGAGCACTTGGAAGGGATATGGAGCAACAAGGGGTCCTTGTTTCGCCACATGATGAAGAGATGGGTCAAGAGGGATGCTCTTGCGCCATCTTGTTCTCCTCTTGCGCCATCTTGTTTTCCTGTTAAGCCATGCACGACCTTGTTGAGCGATACATGTGCCTGTTGCTCATAGTGATGTAGTTGCTCCAAGATTGATGTTGTGCGCCATACTTGATGCTCTTCTGCCATTTAGATCCCTGTTGCGCCAACTAGGGTTGCTGTTGCGCCATTAAGAAGCTATTGCGCCATCATGGACCATCTTGGTACATGATGCGCTATATTGATTCCTTTGTTGTGCCATGTTGATCCAAGTATGCCTAGAAGATGATAATGCTCAAGAATGTTCCAGAAGATGTTGCATGGCGGATTGTGATTCGTTGACACCCTTGATGGGCCTATGTGCCAATGGTCTTGGCCCATTAGGGTTACAGGTCTAATCCCACAAGTATAAATAGGGATGCATGCTAGGTCATTTTGTATCTTGAATTTTAGAGTGATGGGCGAATCTCTGTGTAATTGTACTTGTAAACTCTGTGTTAAGAGCTCTGAAATAAAGAATACTCCCATCTTGCCAGTGGACGTAGGTCACCTTGACCGAACCACGTAAATATTGTGTCTTGTGTGCTTTTGGTTTTGCTATTTATCCACTTTACTTCTTAACAAGTGGTATTAGAGCTACGGTTTGTGTTCCTGTGATTGAAGATGTCTACTCACAAGTTTGATTTGAAGAATTTCAATGGCTCAAATGACTTCACTTTGTGGAAGGTGAAGATGAGGGCTCTTCTGGCTCAACAAGGATGTGCGGCGACATTGGAAGGGGAGGCAAAACTGCCAAAGGACATGGTGGCTGATAAGAAGGTGGATATTCTGACGAAGGCACATAGTGCCATTCTATTGATCTTAACAGATGAAGTACTGAGGGAGGTTGTAGATCAAACAACTACTTCTGGGCGCTGGGATAAACTTTATGAAAAGTACCAGAACAACTCACTAACAAACAGGTTGTATCAGAAGCAAAGGTTGTACACTCTCAGAATGTCTGAAAGTACCCAAGTGAAAGATCATCTGGATAACTTCAATCATATCATCTTGGATCTACAAGGTGTTGATGTGAAGATTGAAGATGAAGATCAGACACTCATTCTCTTATATTCGCTTCCTAACTTATATGAGAATTTCGTTGATACCATGCTTTATGGTAGGACAACGATCACTGTGAATGATGTGAATGACTCTCTGATGTCCAAGGAACTTAAAAGAAAAGTTTCAGGTGGAGAGGAGGTGTCCAGTTCCGGTTTGTTTGCAGGGACATGGAGGACAGAAGAGATGAAAGGGGGAAACAGAGGGAGATCACGTTCAAAATCGAAGTTTAAAGGTTCATCAAACATAAAATGTTATAACTGTAAGGAGAAGGGTCACTTCAAGCGAAATTGTCCACATATGAGGGATCGGAAGTCCAAGAGTGAATCAAGCAGCAATAACACTGCTGTTGTGGTTCAGGAAAGTTCTGATGAAGGGGAAGATGGTGATGTACTGTCTGTCTGTACATCAAGTTCTGCTGATGCTTGGGTATTGGATTCTGGAGCATCCTATCACATGACGTATAATCGTGACTGGTTCGACTCCTTCAAAGAGTAGGATGGCACAATCAAGATGGGTGATGATTGGGTGAGTAGTATCAAAGGTAGTGGCACGGTCCAGATCAAGATGCCTGATGGCATGGTCAGGAAGTTAGATTGCTGGTACGTTCCAGAACTTGGGAAGAATTTAATTTCTCTTGGCACATTGGCTAAGAATGGGATGAGGTACGCTGGTGAAGGCGACTGGGTCAAAGTGACCAAAGGCTCTTTGGTTATAGTGAAAGAGAAGATGAATCATGGAGGGATCT